ATCGGCTCGGGTCGACACCTATCGAGGTGCCCAAGGCTGGCGAAGGCCTGGCTCTCTGCTCGCGCCGAGAAGGCCCGGGCCGCGCTGCAGCTCGCGCCAGTGTACAGCCGTGACTTTTTTTTTATTTTCAGCGTGATTCACTCCTTTACGGGCGATTCGCCCCTTGAGTCACACCTCGCCGGAAACAACTGAAACTGGGAAACAAAACGAGCCCTCTACAATGTCAATGAAAGGGAACTTTTTGTTTTCACGCACGGCCAAGGTGAATAGTGCACGTATCTAAGATGTTACAAGTTTCAAACTATTGTTCTGTAACCCCCGACTTGGTTTGCGCATTGTGCTGATACAAGACGTCCTGGCATGGCTGCCAGCTGGCCATGCCCCCCCTCAGTGATGTATACTTCCTTCCCTGCTTGACTCTTGGTCTGCTTGCAGGTGGCGGGGCAGCGTCTACAAGCTGGTTTGGCGGGAGCTGCTCGTGTTCCTCTGCCTGTACTTCTCCATCAACCTCCTGTACCGACATGGGCTCAACGAGGCGCAACAGAGGTGAGTGGGGCGGGGCCGGGGGCCGGGCGGGGCGGTGAACTTCGTCCCCGATGGTGAGAGTGGCGCGGCGTGGCGCTGGTTGACCGAGACGCGCCGTCGCCGGTCGGTCGGTCGGTTGGCTGGCCGGTCGGCCGGGCTAGCCTAGGAGGCGGTCGACTGACTCTTCTAGGAACTTGCGACATGACTGAGTAACGGTGCGAGAGCCGGACCAAACAGTGCTGTCCGGTGCAGTCTAGCACTAGGCTACTTGGTCCGAGTGCGTAAAAGTAGAGTTCACCTTCGTCGGTGGGTCAAAGTTTCGAGTTCCAGTTAACCAGTTTATACGGGCCCTCATCTGCTGCACAGACGTGGATAAACGGCCTTTTTAAAACGAAACTCTGTGAGTTCTTGCCAACTCCCTTCCATCCGAGAGGAAAAAAGACATCAAAAGGAAATTTTTATCCGATCCGACGCAAAGCGAAAACGTGGATCCGCTTCTTTCAGAACCGGTTCAAGTTGATCCCTCCCGGTCCAGGAGGAGCTCCACTCTTCGCCGCGCCGTGACGCGCCACGCCGTGCTGGGACGCCCCACGCTAGCCAGCGCGGTGGCTAAGACTAGGCCAGAGGGAGACTTGAGCTGACTGACATGACGGACGGGAAGTGACGGAAGGACACGATACACCGCCGTGTGAGAGCGCGCGGCACCACTGTGCCTTCAAACGAGTCTATAGACAGCTTTTTATTTTGTTTCTTCGTATTTGAAGAATGTAGAAAAAGAATGTGAGTATCTTGACACAGCAATTCTGGAAAATTCTCACTTTTAGGTGTGCGACATCCTATCATCTGACTAGAAATTTGAATATTTGAAAGTGTTAGACTAGATATCAAACACTGCTCAAACCCGGAGCTGAAACACTCTGAATTGTTTCTATAGCCTACTGTTGAACACTTCCAAATATTCCGCCAAACAGCTTATGGTGTGCAACATGGTGCCGAACACTTTCAAGTGTGGCAGTTGCACACTGTTGACAACAGTGTTTCCGTGTCTTAGACTATCGGCCCCTTTTGACATTACTGTTGTTTGCTGCCAGGCAGTTCGAGCGGCTTCGAGCGTACTTCGGCTCGCACGGCGAGACCATCCCCATGTCGTTTGTCCTCGGTTTCTACGTGAGCCTGGTCGTGAAGCGTTGGTGGGAGCAGTACCGGCTGCTGCCATGGCCCGACACTCTCGCCCTCTTCGTGTCTGCTGCCATACCCGGAGTGGTGAGTAAATTGTCACTCGTTATAAAATTACTAGGGAAAATGAGGTGCAAAGTCGACCCTTTTGTAGTTGGTGTGCTGTTAAATAAGTTTTCAGTTAATGCCTTTGCTGTGAGGGTACGAAAATGATTGTCTTTGGACGTTTGTATGCCTTTCCGGGGGCATTAATTTTTTGCCGGTGTGACTTAACACCTTGGGTTTTCCAGCAGTATGGTTGAGAAAACCGTCCACGCATTCGCATTTTATAGTTGCCGTGCATCTTCCTTATTTTGTACATGTAAGAGGCTGCTTGGTTGTCCAGGACGAACGTGGCCGCCTGATGCGCCGTAACATCGTCCGCTATGCCGTGCTGGCGTACGTCATCACGCTGAACCACGTGAGCGTCCGCGT